ATAAGCAGTGTTAAAAGGGCAACGTGACAAACATGAGAATTTCATCACATATATTCATATCACGTAAAATTACAGACAAACATGGAATAAAATATATTGACAAAAAATGTCTTGATTATAATTGCATTTCACAGAATAATTTTGGGGACAACATATGGTATAATTTTATGTCAATAATTCACATGCAGTTGCAAGGGACCAAAGGACTCTGAGAAAATCCCCCCTACCCCCTCGCAAAATAATGAAAAATATTTAGTGTCAACTGTCACCAATACTACTTTTACTAGGTCCAATTGTCTCAACTGTGATGATTCTTAGTTTAGACAGACATCATAGCACACTGTATGGTGTACGCCCGTCTTCATTAGCCCAGTCGGAACAGAACAGGAGGACGTTAAACCCCAATTCATTTGGACAAACTAGCATCAGTTGTGTACATACAGAATAGGTCTGGCAAGAGCAAACAGGTGTCTTGCCTTCAATCAAATTAAACAGAGGTTTATTAAAATTTATAGGTGGTCATCCGTAGAGACTGTTGATTGTTGCAAAATTTTCAATTCACCATATCATTGTAAATACTGAATGAAACTGAATCATTTTTGGACTGGCATTTCTTTTAATAATTCACCTTACACAATATTTTGCTCATTTGCAAGAAATTCAAAATCACTCAAATGTTTCAAAATTCACCATATATTTGTAAATAATAAATGAAATTGAACCATTTTGTACTAATACATGTACTCCTTTTAAAGATTGAACTTTCACAATATTATTGTTTGCAAAGGATTTAAAGTCACTCAAATGACAATCAGCCAGTTTAATTCAATTGAGAAAAATCTATATGTATAAAAATGCAGGGAGCCATTGTGGCTCAGCGAGTAAGACGTCAGCTGGCTAATATGGAGGTCCTGTCTTCTATTCCTGTGTTGCCAAAGAAAGTTTATCAGGATTTTCTGGTGTAGTTTCTTCTGATCAGGGGACATGGCAACTGACTATGTACATGTATAGTCTTTGGAATGGGAGGAAAAACCAAGGTCCTGTGTACAAATTTGTATGCACGTAAAAGAACCCTTGACAGTTAGAATTCAAAATAAGAGTAGGCCATAGTGCCACTGTCTAGGCAAAATTTCCCTCACACTACACTGCAGAACAGTAGGACGTTAAACACCATTTCATTTCATATTTTTCTTTTATAAAAACGCAACCATCGACCCGTGTTGTTCTAACTCAGATCGTATAAAATACAGTTTCTAGTTCAAGGATAAAAGACTTTAATAGACTGAAGATATCTAGCCAATCTTACTGTCCTGTCTAGAAATACAGTCTCTGAGAAATCAATGCCATTCGTAGAATGGAACTTGGGAGTAAAAACCATTAATTCTCTTGAAACCCCATTCCTTCACTCCAACATCAATCACTCAGTGTTTGTTTACTCCGACTGACTTATTGATCAAAACTACATTCTAAAACACAGTCGTCCAGTCTTCATACATCTATTTTAAGAAATCACAAAATAGATGTAGGAAATGAATTGAAAGCCACTTGTTTTTGTGGACGTTCCCAACTTTATCTTAATTTATCGAACTAGTCAATCAATACATGTTTCTTCATTTAGTACATAAAAATACTTGTTTTTACAGACAGTACAAATACTTGTTTCTTCATTTAATACAACTACTTACTTTTAAATATAGCACAATTAATTGCCTTTTAATATACATGTAACACAAATACTTGTTTCTACATTCAGTACAAATAGTAGTTTCTTTCCCTAGTACAATTACTTGTTTCTACAGATACATGTAGTCCAATTACTTGTTTCTACAGATACATGTATGTAGTACAATTACTTGTTTCTACAGATACATGTAGTACAATTACCTGGTTCTACATAAAATGCAAATAGTACATGTAGTTTCTACATACAGTACAAATAGTAGTTTCTACATGTAGTACAATTACTTCTTTCTACATTAGTACAAATAAATACATGTATGTACATGTATGAGCAAACAAGTATTTGTACTCTAGAAAAAAGTACATACATGTATTTATTTGTACAAATACTTGTTTGCACATACATGTATAGTAAAAATGTATTGCAAGTATTGCTATACATACATGTACATGTACTGTATGTAGTTTTATCAATAATGGTCACTTAGTTTATGATTTCACCCTGTACCAATAATCTACAATTACAGTACCAATTGGAGCTATGTTTCTACTCTATCAGTGTTGTGCTTGAAAACGACAAGAGAATCATTGTAGAAACGTAGCTCCAATAAAAATACAGTAATTGTTATCCATAGAACTGTTCATTACATAACTGCTTTTTTCAATATTTGATTGAATTCATACATGTATGATCATTTCTAGACCATTTCTGATTCCTTTTCTGAAATTAGATCCACCCCAGTCGCCTTGACAACAGTACATCATAGTCGAACATGTAGATGTACTAAACGCTTATCATGTTCATATTTATAGTTTGTAAATATAGAAAAGAAAACAGCAATGGAACAAACAGATCTATTCTCCTGTATCATTCACATTTTGTCAATCTACTCGACATTGTAAAATGTATTTTTAGAAATACATGTTGAAGTAGAATGAAACAAGCCTATGTCAATTTCAGATAAACCATTTTACACAGGTCGACATGTAATTGACAAAGATTGGTGTGAAGCAGTGAAGTTAAAATCCTGTCTCTTTCTAGATGATTGTTAATACCAGGAAACAATTGAACATCTGACAAGTCCTAGTGGAGTCCCTGACATATCAATCAGTTAAACCATATAGTCTCTTATCATATACATCTCTTTGTTGACTACAGAGAGAGAACATGATAATTGTACATAAAACTACAACTACTGGTACATAATGATACCTATTATTCTCATCACAACTAGGTCATTTCTGGACTAACATATGGTTCAATTTTATTTCGATAATGCACTTGCATCTAAGGGTCTTTAGCAGTGGGAGGAAATCAGAGGACTCGAAGATAACCCACAAGGTTGGACAGTCGCGTACATGTACAATCATGGAAATGAAACTACGTCAATTGACCCAATGACAGACAACTTGATCACTCGACCCCTGTCTGAGTATTATACTAAGCACATAGCTGGTGGCTGGGGTACATTTTTTCATTATTTTTAGTATGATCCAAACAACTAGACACACCTTCATTGCCAGTCTGTAGCTAGATGTACATGTACATGTAACACCCCTGATAAGTGAGAATCGAACTTCAAAAATCCTGAAGGCTCTGATCTGCCCACAGAACTTTTAGAACTCTATTCAGAAATCACAGAAGTTATCTTCTGATCACATTTTACTAATAATACAGTTTGTATCATACATCAAGAGGTCTTTTAGTGAATCTACAATGTATATGGAAGGGTCTTCTTTTAATTTACGCAAAAGCTATTATTATTAAGGAAAAATTGAAAACCCCATTATTTTTAAATTTTCAGTTGATATTCTTTTCGTTATGTTTTATTTTATGTGTTTTGTGTTCACCCATAATTATTTAAAAATATATATTTTATCTTAAATAATTTTATTATTCAGATGTTTGTTAAAGATGCATTATGTACATGTAAGTGCTAAATCTGCCTGTTGCAGGTCTTTCAGACATTTATTCACATGACAAGCCTATGATCCACTCGCTTGAGCATCGGATGGCTAAGATTTAAACAGATTAAAACATCCACATGATCTAAAAAATTAACAATAAAATGAATAACCTAGACTGATCTAGTATGCATACCTGATATTTTTAACTTAGTGCTGGACATGTATGAATAATATCAGTAAAAAAAAACAATGCCAGACTATATTACAGACAGGTTTTATGCCTGACAATGCCCAAATTTGTGCCTGACATGACTGACAGATGCCTTACAAGGTTTGGACTGTAGCAACAAACCTCATAATGATAATGCATAAACAGAAAGTAGAGTTTGATGCATACCATGATCACTAGGTGCATTTAATGAAAAAGGGATGACATTGCAAAAAATGTACTCTGTTCTTTGGTTAGATTGGGCGCGCTTTTTTACCAAATATTTTAATTTCTAGAAGGGGTGTGCCTAATACATAATAATATTTTTGTTATTCTGTACATATAATGATGTCTATATTTCGGCTACATGTATTACATATCCTCCTTAGTCATTATGGGCAATGCAAACACTGTATCGGCCTACACTTTGTAAATATTTACAACAAAAACATTTCGTAACACATACAGGTCACGTTTTCAAATTGATGACAAATATACATCAAATCAACCTGTATACATGTGTTACAAAACGTTGTTAACAGAGAATGAGGTAGGTATAATATATCTATATATACATGTATACAATGTATATACATTGTGTTTTTGTTGTGAATATTTAACTGTACATGTAACTCTAGATGTAATTTATGGAATTGATTCTCCGTGAGTAGGAATTACAAACCATATAATTCAATCCAATTCACATTTCAACTGACCATCTATCAACACTGATATGGACAGTTGATGACCTTTTACCTACACAGTTTAACATTCCTATTCTATTTAATGAAAAGGGGAGTGACAGAGACTTTTAACTAAATGTAAAAAAAGTAGCATGTAATCAATGTACATTTGTAGATGTCTATCAGTTCCCAATTCATAAAAAAACCCCACAAAAACCAGATGATTTATTGTAGTATAAATAATAAAAGTTAAAGACTATGGACGACCTTATAACTATAAACAGTGAACCATGAACAACCTATTAAAACTGACAATGAAATATATCACAGTCGTCAGTAGGTAGATTCCCTATCCTGTCACAGGCTACTGAAGTGGCCTAACGGTATTACAGCGGAGGGGGCGTGACCGTTTATCAGCAGTGTGAGTGTAATCAGTTTTATCTCGTCAAAGCCTTCAAACCCCTTTATTTATTATACGATCACAAGATAACCCAATTGAAAAAATGACATCACAAACTTACCGTAGATCTTCTAATAGATCACATTCCTGTTGATGTTTCGTTTGCAATTTTGACACTTGTTCACTGTGGATATTTTTCAAAGCCACCGACGGCTTCACCTGCAATAGAAATGGAAATCGAAATTTCAACACGAAAAGAGAAAAATATTCATTGCAGTTGATGCTCCAACATCACGTCACGGCGAACAACAAACAAAAACATGTTGACAAGCGATAAAATCGGAAGAATTAACTGACCTTACGAGGTGGCGGTAGCATGTTACGGTTATGTTTGTTAATTCCACTTTGGGACATGACATTATAGTAAACAACTCGCCATTACAATCATACGGCCGTTCTCTTCTCCTCCCGCGGAGAATCCGATACACCGGAAATCAATAACATGGCATGGGCAGATAATCAGGAGGGCGGATCTTGAATAATTAAGAGTAAAGTGGTTGAACGGTTAGGTCTAAATTTAAGGCCACCTGCAGATTTCGTCAAGGTCACGATGTGTAAACAGGGCTAGCGCTAACCCTAACCATAGACGAAGCCTAATCATGTGCCCTAACCCTATTTACATACCAGGTGGCCTTAATATTTAGATCTGATTGTTGTTCAACTAAAACTTCTTTTAAATATACAGCGACTTATAATGACAATTTCTCTATCCGGAAGTTTTATAAATTAATGTTGAGTGAACCATTTTGCGTAGAATGCGACTGATTTTCTTTTCCCTTCTAAGGGTAGATAACTTTTCTAATATCAGTGTGTGCGGGGGCCGCAGTGGCTCAGTGAGTTAGACTCTAATTCTTGGGTTCGCTCCCGGAAAGAGGGTGCAGAATGGAGGACATTACAAGTGTCTAGTCGTTCGGATGGGGCGAAATTCCGAGGTCGGCGTTGGTGTGCACGCAACATTTCCCTCATAGCACAATGGGTCAATTCAAGTCTCAGGTTACACTAAATACGTAGGCCTACGCTTGTGCTAAGGTTGTGTTGTAGTGGTGTATAACTGGTCGTGTTCTTTTTTATGCCTTACCCCAATCCTCTCACTTTAACTAGTGTTTAAACCAGTGACTACACTTGTTTAATAACGGTGTTAACACTGATGAAAAAGAAAAAAAACCCAAAAACCCCAAAAAACAAAAAAAACAAAAAAACAAAACAAACAACAACAACAACAAAAACGCCAACACCATTAAAAATAACACTATTACACTAATGTTCTTTTTAATTGTTCCACTTTCGTTTCGTTTTTGTCTCCTGTTCTAACGCATTCAATTCTTTGGCTGACTATAATTGGGGAAAACGTCTCGTGAGTTTCAGTAACTGATATCTTTGTTGAATTTTTGTTGTGTTGTTTCCATGTATTATATTCAATAAAAAGTTTTCATCTATTTGATCATTATACTGTCGAAATTTCCTTTTTTGAAATTTCTCGTAAATCATGGCAGGTCTGCGGTCAACATTTCTATGTCTTACGTTTTGACCATTTTTGGGTAATAAATCATTTTAAGTCTTAAACCTAAAGACTGTTGTAATGACTTGAATTGAGCTAGAATTTTTTTAAAAAACACCTAGGGGTTAGTGTTATGTTTAACAAGATAATAACTTTTATCAAGCCATTATTATTTACCAGTTTTTATGTTTTTAGAAATGATATTGCACATATTTAATTAAATAGGGAAATTGATACTGAAAATATAGAAAAAACCGAGGGGCTCTGGTATAAGTTAGTGTTTGGGTAACCCAGATACGAAATTAGTGTCCGTGTTAATGTGTATACATGTCCATGTTTAACACAACCTCAACACTATGGCGGGGTATCGGGTTCAAAATTCAATCTGGAGTAAAAAGGGTATCTAAAAGGGTATTTTTTAAGGTGAAAACCTATAACTTTATGAAACTTGGTCCTGCAAAAACATCAAGCTTTTCAACTTTTAATCGTCACATTTCGACTTTCAGGGATAGAATTTCTACTTTCTACTATATTAACATTTGACTTTTGATATTCTGCCTTTTACTTTCTCCCGTAAACTTTTGATTTTCGGCTTGCTACATGAGACTTTCTACTCACGATTTTCTAACGTAGATTTTCGTCAATACTATGGTGGCTTGTAGTGGCCATGTAATTTTCGCCACTTTCATAACTCGATAACACGACATAACGACAGTATTAGTGAGAGCATACGCCAAAGTAGACTTAGATATTATCGCAGGATTGTTGTCGTAACGTGGTGTTATCATCGCCTTAATATCTTTCTGTAAGACACAAAAATACATAATATTGCTGGCATTATGGTAGTTCTCATTGTATCGCACATGAATCAATGAACTGGAGTTTAACGTTCTACTTTTCTGCACCAGCCAGGCTAATGAAGGCGTAATCATACAGGAAGCTGAATTCATAAATATAAATAAAGCCGGCACAAAAGAGATATATGTTGATTAGTTATTTGTTTTTTCAAAGTAATGAAACATTTTGCAAACAAAAATAAATTATTTTTGATATTATTCAAGTAATCTCGAAATACAGCAGTAGAACAAACGCTAGTTAGCTGGCTTAATTCTTCAAATAAAAGTTATAGGCTTCGAAACATTGCAATTATCTGCCAATTTTCAAACATCTAGGCATCAATCCTATTAGTTATGGCGGCAAACTTTAATAAGATATTTTAAAGTCGATAAGAGCACCCCACCAACAACGTCCGGTGAATATACTTATAGTGTGCTGGTTTATAGTGTGCCAGGTTTCCGTATATGTTAATAAGTCACGTGATATCCTTCATTTGCAAACTGAAGTTGATGCTGTGCGAAAGATGCCATGTAGAAAGCGTGAAGGACAAATGGGATGTGGCAGAGCGCAAATGTAAAATGTAATGAGAGAAATATAAAATGTAGACACGTCAAAAAATGCATTTTCCAACAAAACATTTGTCATTTAACACTTAACATTTAACGTTTTACAATTTAACTCTTGCCTTAGAGGTATTTTGACTTTATCATTATCGGTATTATGACTTTGAACATTGTACTTTTTACATATAATCATTGGAAACGACAGTGTCGCAGAGCATTTAATATTGTCAGCGATACCCTTCCATACGACTGGTGCAGAAAAGTAGAACTTAAACCTCGGGTCATTCATTCATTCATTCATTATGTTATGAGCTAGTGCTAGCAAAATTATGTATTTCTGTGTCTTACAGAAAGAAACTAAGGCGGCAAGGCGATGCTAAAACCACGTTACGACAACAATCACACGATAATACCCAAATCTATTTTGCCGCAAGCTCTCACTAATACTGTCGTCACGTCGTGATGTTGTGTTAGGAAAAGGGCGAAAATTATATGGCCAATACCAGCTACCATAATATTTAAGAAATCTGCGTTAGAAAAACTAGTCTCGGTCACCTAGAACCCCCTAGTCTTCAACGTACGGAGGGAAACTGGGCCGGTTGTCAATATTTGACGAATAGTCCATTTCCCATGTTTTTAATGTGGTTGATTATCCAGTATCTTTGGCCAAGTCAAGTAAGAGTTGCGCCCCCTCCCGCAATAAATCATATTATTCTTGCATTAATAGAAACAAACATGAATCTAGGATTAATTTAAAAAACATAAATATGGCCCATGAAGAGAGAAATTTTACAATAAAAAAAAATAAGAGTGTTGGATATTGAACTGGCAATGTAATCAAATAGATTTTTTGAAATGGCATTCTTAAATTAATTTGTTTATGAATATGTAAAAGACTGGATAATCTACCCGATGACCTGTTATTCTCAAATGTTGACAACGCATAGACTAATATTCGTTGAATATTTTTCTGGATGATAGAGACTATGCAAAATCATGAGTAGAAAATCTGAACTGGAAAGTCGAAAGTAAAAAATTGACAGTTACCGTAGAAAGTCGCAAGTTGATAGTAGAAATGTTTAAAGTTGAAAAGCTTGATAATTTTGTTACAGGATTCCACCAATAAAATACCCTTTTAGATAAAGAGTTTTCCCTTTTACTTTTGATTTTCCGAATGGTTAGCACGTGCGCGCTGTATCATAAGGCCTGTCATTGAGTCAACTGGCGTGGTTTCGAATCCCCGTGTACGTGACAAGGAGTAGGGTCGCCTGTCCAACCTCGTGGGTTTTCTCGGGCTCCTCCGGTTTCCCCCCACTGCGAAAGACCCCTACGCGCAAGCGAATTATTGAAATAAAAAAAACATATGTTAGTCGCGAAATGACCTAGTTTGTGTCGAGTGGACGTTAAACCCCATTACTCTCTCTACTTTTGACTTTAGATTTTCTACTTTTAACTCTAGATCGCATTTTGAACCTGATACCCTGGCATACAACACCACAAACCTTAATGATTTTTGCATTTCTATAGTTAGCAAATTTCGTTCGATTGTAGTCATCAACGATTCCAGTCATCCGTCGATTCCAGTCACCCAGTGATTGTGTAGTCACTCCGCCATTCCAGTCATCCAGCCGCCCTGTAGCCCACTCGGCAAATCTCGGTACCCTACATCTAACCTCGGCTGTATGATAGTAATTGATATGTACCTACGCCCATACATTTGCGATGCGGCTACCGGTTTACTTTAACAGGAAAACGTGCCGCTTTTACTTACAAAAAAGTCCCAAAATGGCGTGTATATAATAACTAAACGAGCAGAAACATTGTCTCAAGGCTGCTGGTTTGATATAATTCCCTGGTAATTCCTCAAACCCAATGCCAAACTTGACGTTTGTTGATATAATACACTCTCCACAGAAATCTCCATGGGCGCAGCCATTTTTCATCCGGGACCTTTAAAATAGTTCCAATATGGCGGAATTCGTCATACAGCCGAGATTAGATGCGTAGAATCTGTCGAGGCTTGCTGAATGCGCTGTAGCCTAGCTATCCAGCGGATATCACCAAAAGTCTTCGACATTGAAAATACGAATTGTTTGTGAATTTAAATCATCATTGATGAGATCTTACCGGGAAAGGATGGGCTTCTGAAACCCAATATTTAAGACAAAATAAACATTTTACCATTAGTACACAACTCGTGTACAGTAAAGCGTTTCGGCGCCATCTATAACAAGAGACTCGAAGAGGCTTGGCATATTCCACAAGTCATGTTAAACCATGACGTCATATATGACGTATTTGTGTCAAACGGTGACGTCATATTCATATCAAGAGAGCATGCGCAATAAATACTATTAGTAGACTGAAATAACCAGACGCTAGAGATTGCCATTCGATTAAGATTTCTGGCGTATTTCGCCGAACATAACGTGATTTGAAATGAGAGTAAAAACGGAAACGGTTAAATGTAAATCAGTTTATATACATTCACATTACATTATTATATTATATGCGTTGTGAATCATT